TCGTAAGTTATTTATTTAATTCTATTATTACTTATTGTTATAATATTTACATATAATTTAAACTAACTAAATTCTTTATTTAAAAATTATTTAATAATATAGCTTGTAGGTTATTTGTTATTTTTATTGTTACATATTTTATATAATATTTATTTATTAACTGTATTCTTTCATTTAAAATTTCTATTACTTTAGTTGGTAAGTTGTGAAATATAACTTATTATTGTATATATTTATACAAGAACTAAGACATATATTATCTTAAATTCCTATTTGAATTTTAGAGTAAGTGTTAATTTTAATCTTAACATTAGTGTTTTAGTGTAAATTTTATTATAAACTTTAATATATTTTTAATTCTTTAAATTTATAGATTTGGAAAAAGTGAAAATACAATTATGGATAAATTTATTTTGGAAAAAGGATTAAAATGGATTCCTTATAATAAATTTAAAAATGTTGAATATCTTAATAAAGGAGGATTTGGTACCATATACAAAGCTATTTGGTTAAAGAATGATAAAGAAGTAATTCTTAAATGTCATAATAATTTAAATGAAAATTTGAATGAATTTTTAAATGAAGTATGATAGTATATTATTTTATTTTTTTAATTTAAATTATAATCTACTTTTATTAATATATTATTATTTTTTATAGTGGGAATGTCATGAAAGTTGTTTAGATTCATCTGAAATTATTTATTTTTATGGATTTACAAAAAATCCAGATACTTTAAAATATATGGCAGTAATGTATTATGCAAACAAAGGTAATTTAAGAGAAAACTTAACAAGAATAGTTGAAAGTGCTTGGGATCAAAAATTATATATGTTGTATGGAATTATTTCTGGACTTAATGTGATACATAAGCAAAATCTTATTCATTGTGATTTTCATGATGGCAATATTTTAAATCATAATTATTATGAAAAAGATGAAAAGAATAGAGCATATAAAATTTATGTTAGTGATTTAGGATTATGTCAACCTGTAAAATCATTTTTAAAAGAGTATAAGATTTTTGGTGTTGTACCATTTATGGCACCTGAAGTTTTAAGAGGCAAATCTTATACTTCAGCTAGTGATATATACAGTTTTTCTATGATTATGTGGGAATTTACATCTGGAATACCACCATTTAACAATAGAGCACATGATATTCAACTTAGTTTAAGTATTTGTAAAGGTGAACGTCCTGAAATTATTGAAAATACTCCACAATGTTATGTAGATTTAATGAAAAAATGTTGGGATGAAGATCCATTAAAAAGGCCATCTTCTGAGGAAGTTTTAGAAATTATTAAAAAATGGATTTATCTTCCTTATGGCAAGGAAATTAAAGATATTGATGAAGTATTAAAACGCAATGCTATGGAATTTATAAATGCACCAATTGAACATAATAATCTTGTTACTGAATCTCATCCACAGGCTTGTTATACAAGTCGCTTGCTTAATTTTACTAGTAAAAAATTGAATGAAATTCTTGAAAGTGAAATGCTGGTAAGTGAAGATTTGAATGATTATATGATTAAAGATTTGAAATTGTTAGGTAAGTAATTTAGTATGTATAAAATTAATCTTGCAAGTGATTTTTGTGAAATTAATTTTATTTATTTAATTATTTAAATATTAAAACAGATGAAAATACTAGCAAAAAATTGAATGGAATTCCTGAAAGTGAAGATTCACAAGCTAGTATAAAAGTGAATGAAATGCTTGTAAGTGAAGATTTGAGTGAATGTATGGTTAATTTGAAGTCATTAGGTATGTAATATAGTATGATATAAAATAATTTAATTTGCAAATTATTTACATGAAACTAATTTTATTTATTTAATTATTTAGATATTAAAACAGACTAATTATTTGTGTTTTAAAAAAGGTTTATAGTTTCTTTTTAAATGATATTTGATATCATGTACTCAACAAAAATTGTTTTTTATTTATTTTATTCTTTTTTTGATTTATTTAAACACTAAAGCTAGAGTAGTAAGATGTTTCAAAGATTTTTAGTTTGTAATTTAAATAATTCCTTTTTTTTATATTTTATCCAAATATCAAATACATATTCTCTTTTTAGAATTATATAAACACTAGGATAGAGTAGTGAATATTTTACAAATTACTTAGTTTGTAATTTAAATAAATCTTTTTTTTAATTATCAAATATAAATTATTAAAATAATAAGTATATAAAACCATTTCTAATGTATAGAATGATGTAAAATTTTTTGTACTTATCTCAATAGTTGGTTGTATTTAATTTGTATTGTTGACTTTTATTTAAATATTTTAGTCAACATAGGAAATACAACAAGGATTATATGATTTATTAGTTAGTATTTCTTAATAAACCAAAATCTGCTAACTTTATTCTATTTTGAAGTACAAGTACATTTATGCATGCTAAAATGAACATATATATTAGTTTATTGCTTGATGTAGTCAAATTAAAAAAATTAATATACAGTAAATTATTATGTTACCAAATTACAATAAATAATTCCTTCATTATGCAAACATTTTAAACATTTTACAGCATTTGCAAGTTGTAGTGCTAATTTATATTTATAATTCCATTTGAGTTTATTAAATATTTACAATTTTGTTAATAGTTAAATTAAATGGAAATTTTAAAGCTAAAAGACCCATTACTTATTCCTTCTTTATTAGTAAAATCTTCATGATTATAATATGGTATTTGATGTAATCTTCTGATATTGCTTTTTCTAACCAATCAATATAAGTGTTAGAATTGTCCATTTGTTCTTTAGCTGCCATCAGCATTTTATAAGCGCTACAGGACCCTGAAATATACATAAAAAGGTTAGGTTAAAGTTCGCGTACCATCAGCAAAAAAAAATTATGAAAATCTTTCCCTATAGATAATTCCTGGTGGAAGGTATTACCTTTTTTGGATATTGACCAATATTATCATAATTCCGGCCCTGAAAAAATGCGTACAGCTAATAGTAAATTTTTTTGGCCGCCACCTTACCTTTGTATATATATTTTGGGGTCCTAGCACTACACCTTTTGATGATAAAATAATTAAAATAATGTATCTGCACTGAATATTTAGCTACACCAACTTTTTGTATTTTGTACCATATGATATTATAATCATGACATATTACATAGTATTTAATATTAAACTGAACCAGATAATTGACTATAACAGATAACATGTATGACTATCATCATCATTAATATTTTTATCATTGAAAAACATGATTTCTATCCTCATATCGGCCAATAGAGGAAGTCCCTAAAATTTTTGGGGACATTTTTGCGATCAGTAAGAGGGACCATCATATCAATTGTCAGCTAATAAAATTAAACTATGCTACTTAAATACACCTCTGGTGTTTATGTTTACCGCTTTACATTTATTGTACTGTATATATACTTGCGTCAATATTCTAGAAACTTGTTTCACTTTCAACTATTTCTTTACCAAAAGAAGCAATGGTTAAGTGACCCATCTGTTATAAACAATACAAAGGACAAACAGCTTTGGATAATCATATGAAGACTATTAATAAAGCAAATACCCTTTAGCACATGTATTTTTCCTTGACTGATTTTTTGTGTGCAATAGCGGTCATAAGTAATAGATTTATGACATAATATTTCCATTCCTTCATCATTTCATGCCTTAACCTTCTAGGTATATAGTTTTTTTTTTGAAATATAAATTTTCAAGAGCCATTATAGAATTTTTTTAATTTCACCTTAGTTCTATACGCATAACGTAAGAAAAGATCGGCATTTTGCAGTTAAAATTCATCGATCATAATGTTTATAATTCTACACTTTATCAAGGTTAGCATCACACTTAAACTCTAAAAAATTTTAATGGCGTTGTACTTGACTTTAGAAATTATGAGGGGTTGGATACTTATGACCACTACTATAATATATTTTTCCGATTTTTAACCGGACCGGCTAACCGAATTATAAATTGTTACCGACAGGCTTTCCTAAAGTGAAGTAATTTTTTTTTTTTATTTTTCTTATTATTATTTAAAATCAATTCTGTATTAAAATAAAATGGATTTTGATTTTTGAGGATGAAATCATCTCATCATCTTGATTTAAAAAATTTTGACTGAATTTCATTGATTATTGATTGTATAAAGTAAAAAAAAAATAATAACGTAACTTGTTATCAGTTATATTTTTAGATCTGAAATGTTACCATCACGTAATAATGTTTTAATGATTGTAATATAAAATATAGATTATAATAATAGAAAATTTGAAAAATTTTTTTCTAATTAATCTCGAATCTTTCTGTATAATGCAGGCAATGCCTAGTGTTGATTTTTAAGTATTAAGCAATGCGATCTTTGCGAAGGTTTGGTTAATAACTTGTAGCGTGTGCGTGTTTGTCACTTTTGTAAAGACACAGCTTCCAGGCTTGTATGGCTCCCGTCATTGTCTCAATTTATAAAATAAAATAAAATAATAGAAAAATTCTGTCTATATTAATAAAATAAGAATAAAAAAAAAATAATAGAAAAATTTTACACCTTTTCTCCCGCTCTTGAATATATTGTCAAGAATCTTTTTAAATATTTTTTTAATCCTTTTGTAAAATATTTTATAATGCGTTAATTTGTCCAATCAAAATACAATAATTCGTCAAGTTATTAAATCTTTTAAAAATTAGAATCGTCAGATTTATTAGAATAAAAAATTCTTACAAAAAAAAAAAAAAAAATGTATATATACATATTTTCTTTTATTGATTAGCGCTAACAAAAATCTACAAATATTTATAGTAGCTTTGTACAGTACATTTTTTAGCCCCCTCTAATTAGTAATCGTCTCTTGAACCATTAGAATAACAGTCGTACTCATCATATGTTAAATAATATACGTGATTACACATGCCAGGTTCATATCAAGTCAAGTTCATATACAATTATCGGGTTTATTTGTGACAGCTTGTTCTTCTGGTGTACTGCATAACTGTGATGTAGTAAGGGTGGATAGCTGACTCCTTCCATGACTCCTTCTTTATAACCATGAATTGATTTAGCGTATGACGCTAAAAAGCCATAGAATGGTTTAGCTTGGGTGAAATCAAACACACGTTATTCGTTTTACGTTAACGAAAAAAATGTCTAAAAAAAAAGGAGTAATGATAAATTAATATCTTAATTATTCGTATTTATAAAAAAAAAAAAAATTTAAAAAATTTTTACTCTAGATAAAAAATTGTTCTCAAAAGTCGATTAAAATGCTTCATCGGAAAATATATACACATATATATATTTTTTCAGCGAAAAAAAAAATGAGCCAAATGTTCGTCAATTTCGAGATATAAATATATATTTTCTTTTCTTTTATTTTTTTTTCTTTTGATATAAAAAAAAGTAAAAATGAAAATGCTTACTTTATTATAGAAATCATATAACTTTTTTTCAAAAAAGTTATTCAAAATAAATAAATTAATTTAACGTAATTAATATTATGACTTACACTAAAATTATTATAAAATCACATTATAAATAATAATTCATTATTAGCGGAAGGAAAAAAAAAATTTTTTCTCGCAAAAAGAAAATCAAAAATCTCGTTTAAATATGGAAAAAAGTCAGTCCCGTGATTGGTGTAACCATCTCCGCTAAAAAACTTTTGGATTATTCTAAAATAACACGATATTGTTAATTAACAAAAAATTTTTAAAAAATATAAAAGGGTATCAAAAATAGAAGAAATCGAACTAATACAAATGCGCAAATAATTTTATTACAAGTATAGCTAGTATCAACCTACAGCAACCTACAGCCAACTTTCTAAGGAAAAGTATATGAGATCCTAAACAAATTTATTATCGTTATTATTTCAGGAAAGCGCCTAAATTTCCTTCTTAACTTTTCAGGAGGGTTTTATTATTAACGATCTAGAAAAAACTTGTATAAATATGTTTATTGTTTCACCTTTAACCTTTTTAATAGCGTCAATGAGCGTCGATCTATTGGTTGATAGTCGTTTGGACTCTATTTTTTTTACTTTTTAAAGACGAAATTAATTTGGTAAATGCTAACCAACAAAAGAAAAAAATTATTTTTTAAAAGTATGAAATGATTTTTTTTTATTTAAATTACATTTAATACAAATTAATATAATACTTATTTAATTTTTTTCCAAAAAAAAAGATAAAAAAAAAGAAAGAAATTCATTTAATAATATAAATACAAAAAAGGAAGTGGAAAATTAAAACGTAATAAAATGTCCCAAAATATCAAAAAAAAATCATTATAAGTAGTGTTTATTTGTATGTCGCTTGTTGGATTTTGACTTTTTTGATTTAGTGTTGTTTATAGGATCAGTATTTTCAGTCTGACCATTTCTTGAGAATGTAAAATGATAATGAGGTTGATTATTGTAATGATTATAATCATGATTTTCTTCCCTATAAAGAAAGTTAATTATTAATTACAAGTTTCGTACGGTATATAATAATATATATGTAACGATGAATCATAGATATATATAACTTACTTTTTATTATGATGAGTATGATGGTGATGATGATCCTGTGGAGGATGAACGACTTTTGAAGTAGTATTTATCGCGACAACTGCGACAAGTGAAGAAGCTCCTAAAAATCTTTGCCACATGATGAATAATTATTGTAAGTTTTTGTTGTTTAAGAAAGAATTTTTTAAGACGTGAAATGTGAAATATATAAATGTATGATTGTAAGATTATAAGTATATGTATAATGATTTTAATATATGATTATAAGTTTTTTTTTTTATGATAATTTTATATGTACTGAAGGAGAGAGAAGATGGTTTATTTATATAATTCGAGAAAATAATGAGATTTATATTTAAAAAAAGGGTGTGAAAAAATTTTTAAGACTAAACTTTTAAACAAAAAAAAATAAAAGTTTAATCTTAGTAATTGTTCGTTAACAGGTTTTTTATCGTTAAAATTAAAACTTATTGTCGTTATTTTTTTGGGACTATTTTATGTCGTTCTTTATATAAAAAAAAATATGCATAAAATATGCACTATCTGCAATAATGAATTTGTAATAATCGATAGATTAGATCAAAGTTTTTTTAACGGAAGAACGGAAATCAATGACCGATTACTTTCCGGAAATTCTGATTCCGGAATTTTATGTCGTGTATCCGATCTTATTATTCTAATTTCTTAATTTGAACATACAACGCATAAGATGTAACATTTTATTGCAGGCATTGCATCGGATTATCCAATAACAAGGTAAAATTAGGTAAAATCAGGGGTTCATCAATTTTTACTTTGCAAAGAAAAAAAAGCCATTTTTGTATATGTAAATGAGCAAATTTTTTATCAAAAATTATTAAATTATTTCTGCATAAAAGAAAAATATCAATGTACGGTATGTATATGTATGTATTATCATTAATTGAAACTATTTTAATGTTATTAAACGAAAATAAATGAATTCGTCAAAAAAAAATGGTATGATAATATTGTCATAGACAAAATTTCATTGGAAGTTTATTAACTAAATTAGAATTTCATTCGTTGTTGCAAAATATTCCTTAAAAAGATTATCCCGAATGTTCATTTTCTAAATAATTTTTTTTTGTGCGACAATATGAAAGGTATTATCATTCCATTTATGTTAATAAATATGTTACACGTTTACTTTAAAAATATGAAAACAATATGAACTTTTGTAAATTTGTATATTTGAATGTATTTCCTTTTTTAGTGTTTTGGAAATACAATGTTTGCTTTATTTTTCTATTTTTATTCAATCTATTTTAAAGATAATAATGTACAAAAATAGTTTCTACCGTAGGAAGTTGTAAAACAAGATTTTTCAAGTTACCCGCAGCACTCTTATGTAGTACAATCGGACGAATTCCGTTCTTGTTTATTATTTGTCATGTAGTCGTTAATGCTTGGCAATATTGGAAAAATATTTTTTCTTCTGTTTTCGTTCTTTTCCATTTAGAATAATGTGGTGACCAATAGGAATTTAATGTTAACGCCTCGCATATTCTGCATAAATGAGCACATTACTCATACTGACGTATATTTTGTCAATATCACCAAAGTATTATTATACAGTAATGAAGGATTTTATAAGTGATTTCTATATTTTTTATTTTTCTTTAACTGTATCGTAAATATTTAGTTAATTTATAATATTCATATATATCTGGTTGTAAAGACATTTAAGTACTATCATATATATATATCATAATCATGCCACGCAGCACGACATATTATGTAGTTATTACATCTCGATATACCGATATTCGTTATAATATATTAAAAACTAGTTAATTATGCAAAGTGTGAAATTTTCGTATTTGAATTTTTTTACTTCGTTCTCTTCGTTCTCTCATGATTTGAAAAAAGAAATGTATGAACAGGCTTGGAAGCTAGACGGGAAGTGCATTCTGTTATGAACTTTATGAATGGCAGTTTTCATTGTAGAATTTTGAGGATTCTTTAGCATGGAACGATTGGAACGACTAGAACGTTCATGTATAACGGGCTGCGTCCTCAAAAATTAACGCGCTGCGCCATAATGCTACGCATGCTTGATATTATTAGTTGCGCCACAAATCACATGATACTGTGTAAAGCGGTGATTTTTTTAACGAGTATGTATATAACGTGGGTCGAGTCATGATCACTTTGCTTAAACAAGCCCTATAAAAAATATGTATACGGAAAGGATACGTTTTGTATACATTTTATGTACGTTTCTATAGATTCCGTATACAAATTCCGTATATTTAATAAGTAATTCATTTTTGAACATTTTTTTAAAAAACTAATGTATAAGAAATGTATACGGGAAAAAATTAATCATGCGGAATGTATACGGAATTTTTAAACTTAATATTTTTAGAAGATAATTTTACAAAAATTCCGTATCATAACACGAGATCACATGAT